TGAATGATAAACTTCCTGTACGATTAACACTAATCACAATTAAAAGGTTAATCATTTCAGTTTTTTCATTTGGCATTTCAATTTTACTTTTAGTTTTGCTTTGATTGTTTGAGTTGTAATAATATAACAAAATTTAGTTTAATTTTGTTCAATCTAATGAATTTATGAGGTTCCTCAATCATTTAAAACAGCAAAGACAAATAGTGTTGTTACAACAAACTGTGCACAGTTAGGGGTTCAAACATGAAAAAAAACATGATTAAACATTTCACAAAGCAAATGAAAAGGTAAAGACTATGACAGATATGATTGAGTGTCGATGATTGTTGTATATCTTGTGGAAACTCAGGCAAAAGGTATTTGCCATTTAATTGCTACAATTAAGAACGCAAATCAATGAACTCAATAAGCTAAATTATCGATGATGCAAAGGAGAAATGATGAAGAGAATGTAAGTTAATTGTTCCGCCTTTGAATGGGGCTTCAATTTTCAGAGTTTTGTTTTTATCATCGATAACAAATGAAAAATAATTAGCAACAAAAAAGCTCGAACATGAGATTTATTAAAAAGATCAACAGAGATGAGATTCTGATCATGTTGGATCATCATAAACATCGTCTTCAAGTTTTTCATCATTTGATTCAAGTGGCTAATCCAAAGGTCGTTGCCTTATATTGACCTCATCCTTTTCAAACGGTTATCAATTGTACAACGAATCACTGTTAATTGTAAATTATTAATTGAAAGGCAAGAAAAGTAAATTTGACAGCAATCGGAGTAACATAATAATGTTTGCATCCCTTTAATAACATTGTAACAAGCATTTGACAATAAAGCTTGTCCTTTAACTGTTATGATCAAGTTAATTGCTGATAATGTTTGATATTACAGTTAGTTGAAGACAAAAAATAGTAAACATTGAAAATATTAGGTTAAGTTATCCTCTTATATGTTTAACTTTAAATGTCAAGTGAAACAAAAATAATGAAAAAGGAGCAAAGCAAAGACCGAGTGATAATGATGATTATGATGATGTAGGATGTTAATAAGGATGAGGATAAATAAATAAATGAAAGTTAGGGAAACCCTTACATAGTAAACATTTAATGATACATTTAACCAAACCTTTTTTTTTACCTCGTATACTCATTTTTAATGCATTGATACCTTATACTTTTGGCGTTGTTGTTGATGTGTTTTCGCGTTTGTTGAATCATTATTTGGAAAAGATTGTGAGAAAGTTAACTAAATTGTAAATTAAAGTATGAATTGTTTAACAAAGTAAAAATGATTACAGTGAATTTGAAAGAGATACAGTGGACAATAATTATATAGCAGGAAAGGTAGAGGTAAAGGTAAGAAAAAAACAACTATTTGACAGTGATGAGTAAAATTAACAGTGAAGGTTAGACTCAAATTATGGTGTGACCCGTATTCACTGACCCTGGTCCCTAAGCCTTTATTGTTTGGTGAATCTTGATTCAGTTTTGAGAAGAAGATAATTTCACCTTCTTAAGGTTATCGTCATTATCTGCATCATCTTCATCTTTGATTATGTTTCCTTGTTCAATCACTTATTTTGCTTCGTTTTTTGTTTCGCTGACGGTCAAAGGTAAAAATTTTGCAGAAAAACTATTTTTCCTTTGTAACCACAGAGAGAGGGTCAAGTGTATACAAATTATGGTAATGTGCAACATTGTTAACTACTTCAAGTGTTCAATTCAATGTCAATTATAGATGTGAAATAATAATGATGACCAATGAAAATGAACAGAAAAAGTGTAAAAAAGGAAAAAGTGTAACTAATTAACCCTGGCATATAAACTATTAACCAAATGATTAAACCTTAAACATTGTTAGAGTGAACAAAATGTGTGCAAATGATGATGTTGCTTGATACGTGTTAATGGTGTTTGGTACAGAAAAGTCATTACGATTAGGTGTAAATGACAAGTTTGATTGTGGCAAAGTGCTTGTGGTCAATGTGTTGTTACCCAAACGATCAGTGAAACCTTTTCATTATTAGCGTTAAATTTCAATTTTGCACACATTATAAATATCTTTTGCGATTTTTCGGTAACATTAAACATTACAAAAAAAATCTAGAGTCGCTTTTGCAAATCAAAATGTTGACCAAATTGTATCAACATGACAGAAACAGTTGAAGCCACCAACTGAACATCCCTTTTAGCATTGAACCAGCAATTGAACATAATTATTTCCCGTTTCTAATTAGCCTTTTCAATTTGAATACAGTTTTTGCTTACAAACGGCAACCGATAATCAACTGAATGGGAAATATTGATAAGCACTTCCGTTTGTTTCTTTGGTTATAAGCACACAGATTTGACAAAAAAAAGAGTCCAAATATATGGTTACAAGTGAAGGAAAATTGTTGAGTTAATCCAAGTTTCAATTTAATTTATGAGGCGATTCATTGATTAACTTTTAGATACTTTTTTATGTCGTTCTTATTTACTTTCAACTGATTATCGTTATGGTCAATGTTTACGTAAAATTTGGTCAAAAAATGTCATTATGTAGTAATGTGTAAGTGTTTCAACTTGACCGATAAAGAAATTTTCAAATTCAATTGCTTCAATGTAATTGTTAACATTTTTTTTGTTGCTTTGCGCGGAACAAGATTTATGTTTACAGGTCAGTCTAAATCACATATCGTTCTGGTCACTTTGTTTGTTAAAATACAGAGAAAAGTGTGTTTTGTTCAAACAACAATTTAATTGTAAATATTGCTTTTTTCACAGGTTGTCACTAGAATCAATTGATTATTTCAACAAATAATCAACAATTTCATCTTTCAAATCTCTTCTCATTTGCGCCAACACTTGAACAAAACACTTTTCTTAAAAAAGGATTCACAGGTAATTTTACCGATAGTTGTGCTCGAAATGTAACAAAAATTACTTCTAAAGTTGACTAATTGTTATCTTTAGCTTTTCTTGATTCGCATTAATCCTGAGCGTTTCAAGCATTGCTTTAGCAACTCTGATCTTTGACTTCAAATATTGCACTTTGATAAAATTGTAATAAAATATCTTAATAATAACAATAATGTTATAATTATCATTTCTGCATAAATTTGCAATGAATTGACTGGGAAGTTCAGATGTTCAGAAATTTAAATGTCATAAAATTTTCAATTGCTTTTCATGCAAAAGTAATGTTTTGATAGCAAATGGAAAATGAGAATTGGAATAATTTTTCCGAGAAATTCACACTTGGTTTGGTAATCATGATTGTTGAAAGTGACTTGAACTGACTGATGGTACAAATGAAGACTAATCAATCACATTGAAGCCAAAATGAAATCATTTAAAATGTTGATGATCTGAAAGGACGACCAACTAACCGAAAATGTTTGAATTTTTCGTTGGAATAATTGAGCTAATTAATTGAACTGCAAAAGTTGAGCCCAACTAATTGGCGAAGCTAGACGTGACTTCGCACATTTGCAACTGTTCAACACGTTGAAAGGGACAACAGTTTTTAAATTGTTCAAATTGTTTGTTGCCTTCCAAAGGAAAACATAATTTGAAAAGTTTCATCTTACAAACTGTGTAATAATTCATTTCTAAGTTATTCCTCTATTCTTTACTCAATACAATTCCCTATTAATTATCATAAGGTAAATAAAAATTTTCAACCTTTTCTTTTGAAAAAATATTTTAAAACTTTATCTGATTGTGTGTTCATTCTTGAATGAACTTACCTGTGCTTCAAAACAAACTGCATTTTTAACTTAAAAAGGAGACACTTTTGTGTGTCAAAGGCTTATCATTCAATAATAGTAAACAATTTCCCATGATGGAAAAACTGAATTATACAAATGTATATGATTGGTTAGTTGATTGTAGCTGTCGTTAATCAAGTGATCAGATGACAAGTTGTGTTAATAGCGGTTGATTTGTTGTTAAATTTGTTGACAAAAATATATATAAATACACTTTGGAAGGTTGCAAGAAGAAGAAAAGGAAAGGTTAAAAGGAAAGAAAAGTTTCTTTTTTTGGGCTGATTTCTTGTAAGAAAACTTCATCTCGAGTTTGAGCTTCTTTTGTTGGTCCGTTTAAAGGGTTACCTGGTCAACTTTTTCTTTTTAAATTTTTAAGGACAAAAAGACTGGAGTGAGAGAGACTGAAAGAGAGTGAGAAGTAGAGAGAACGGATAAGACCGTTGAAATGTTCAGGAGAGATAAAAGAGTTTCCAAGACCATTTCTCTTCGCCTTCGTCTTAACTTGTAAAGACACAAAGACTCAAGAAACTGTTTACATTTCTTGATGTTCTTGAGGTTTTTTAAGGAGGAGAGAGAGAGAAGAAGAGAGAAGAGAAAGAGGATTAACTGAATTTAACTAATCGATAATATAACAAGAAATGTCTTGGTCAAGATAAGAAGAAATGAATAATTTAAACATTTCTATTCTATTCTCTCTACAAGTTTTTTTTCCTTTCTTTTCTCTCATATTGTTACAGTCAAATCATATCAAATATTGTTATAGTCATTACTATTTGAGAGTAAATAGATATTGTTAACTTGAACCCAGATAATTACCTAAAATTGAATGGCCCTTGGAAACAGACAAACACAGAGAATTGGTTAAAAATTGGAACAAAAATCACTTCTCTTTTTTTTCCTCCTTTGACATAGAAAGCGCAAAAAGCACAAACCTAAATTAGTGGCTAAGTTTGTTGTTGATGTAGCGATAATTAATTTAACAAAGCAAGGTTAACATCTAATGACATTGTATGATGAATGAGAGTAAACTGGAAATTTGAAAGAAATGAAGGGTTAACCAATTGATCGGAATATCTTTTATCTGTATCATTTAATCAATAGTCAAATCTGTAGCAAAGTGACATATGAAGCTTTATGATGAATGTCTGTGGTTTCCTATCAAGACCTTTGTCAGGTTAAACAAAACATAATCTCATTCATCTGAAAACTATTTTATTAATTAGCTCATGTAAATGTATTGTTACTTACGTTGTTAAGTAATTCCGAGAACCATTATAAATCCTATTTTGATGGCTGTTGGTGAAAGATTAACAAAATTACACCAATCATCAGATATAATCAAAAGGTTAGGTGAAGACCGTTATACAACTAAACCAGCTGATGGTAGACTGTAGATTAAACAGGTTGAATGGATGTTGTATTTTCACTGACATAAAGTTACTTCCAGTTCAACTGAATTTAATCTCAAATTTGAGAAAAAATTATCATTAGATTGAAAAGTAAATAAAATTTGAAATATTTTGTCATTAAAAAATGAAAGAATTTACAAAATAACTCGTCAATTCAACACCAGGCGGCTCTGATGCAAACAACGTGTTGTATCAACATATGATTTTTTTTGTTGAGATTTTATTTATTTATGATTTTTATCTATTGTAATTTAATTTTTTGATCAGTTATTTTTACATATTTATTGTGAATCTGTCTCCTAAGTTGCGGTAATTATAGTCATGGGTTGGTTAACCAAAATTAAGCAAATACCTCTGGCTGATGTTATATTTGATAGTAAATTTCATCCAACAAAATCAAATATACTTGTCTGTGCAACTGTTTCAGGTGATCTTTTTATGTAAGTTAACACTTGATTACACTTTTTTTACACTTATTTTTACCGTATTTTTATTGCAACTTGATGGTCCTTTGACCTTATGGGGCACCCCATCTCTATGTCTTTGTCTGTGCCTATCACAAGAAGTTGTAATGGAAATGCATTCGTTTTTTCCTGATGTTGATTAAATTCATTATTATTATATCACACTTCCTGGATTGTTCTTAGTAAATAATGGTTAACAAGCTAGGAAAAAAAAGTCATTTTCCTCTCTTTTTTCACTTTTTTTCTGAGTATTTTTACCTTTATCTGTCTTTTTTTATCGTTCACCTTTAATATGATTATCACTTGAGATTGTTTCTATTTATCATTTTTTTTCCTCTGAGTTTTTTCTTTTGTCTTTATGATTTCTCATATTCTTTTCTCTTCTCTTTCTGTTGATATTTTGTTCTTACTTCCTAATCTTTGTGCAGTTTGGACACAGATAATAACACTAATCCGATTGCCGTTGAACTCAACGATCATCACAGTGGTTCGCCCATTAGAAAGATAGCATTCACTGACGATCATAACATAATCACTGCTGCCAAAACTTTGAAGGTAACTGATTTCAATACTGGCAAAGTAATCCGTAAAATTAAACCCGATGAACCTCGAAGTAAAATCTTTTCTCTCTTGGTAATTGACCATTGGTTAGTTTGTGCTGGTGATGATGAAGGACGATTCAGAGCATGGGATTATCGAGTTGACCGAGGAACCTTCATGGATCTGAAACAATGTGAAGATCACATCAGTGATTTGGACATTGATTCACAAAGAAAGATAGTAGTTGCATCAAGTGGCGAAGGTACTTTAACTGCTTTTAACATAAGGTAATAACCAGATTTATTTAGCAATCAAATCCAATCTTTTCATCTTTCCTGAACAATCCGTAATGTAATTCAGGTTTTTGTTGTTTTTTTTAAAGTGATAACATAGCATCTTAATGATAATTATTGTTTTACCATTTGCAAAAAGTGATCAATTAGAATGATAATCAGGTCCAAATTTATTGCAAGTCAAGAAAAAAAACAGACTACAGAATTGGTGGAGTTCATTGAAAGATTTCCGGTCGGCAGGGATTTCTACAAAAGAATCGACTGGCATTCCAGTTTCTGGTTACCATATATACATATATATTTTTAATGATAGGTTTTCAGTTAGCAATAAACTTGTTGATCTTTCTGTTGTTGACTTCCATGAGGATCATCATCAATTCTTTGAAACCTAAATAGTTTTACTCCATATGCACATTACAACAACAAAAGAAGAAGAGAACGAGGAAAGAGAAAGAAGGGAAAAGAGTAATACATTGGCCCACTAATTGTAAGTTTGGAGGTTTAAAAAAGCTCAACAAGTTCCTTTGGAAAGTAAAAAGCATTTAGCAAAAAAAGCGGATCAACGGGTTTTTGAATCATAAATTTTGTCACGGAGGGACGTCATAGATATCTATCTAGCCAAAATTTATCAACTAAGTGAGAAACATCCATTATGAGAATTGTTAAGAACTATTGGGCTTTGGTCTTATTGTTCAGTGAGAGAGAGCGAGAAAGATAGCTGCCCCGGGCAAGAATAAGGAAGAATAACCTTAAGAGTTGTCTTCAGTTCCTAGTTTTCTTTCTTCTTTGGTTGGTGATGATGATTATGTTTATAATAATGATTCTGCTGCCTGATGATGATCATGATGATCATGATGATGATTGTTGATCATTGATCAATGATCATTTTTATCATGATTTGAGGGTGATAAAGCCACACATGGAGATGATCCCAAAGGTTGAAGCAAGAATAACAATCGTAATTCATTGGCGGTCCTGAGAGAGTTTCAATGAGTCTGCATGTTTCTTTAAGAATCACAAAGTAATCATCAAATTAACTGTTTGATTAGTAGACAAGAATCTTAATCATGTTGGCTGCCTGATAAAAATTGGGACTTATTAATTAACTGTCTTCTCATTTTTGTTTCATTTTTTGCTTCTTTTTGTTTTTATCCATATCTCTTTATACGCTTGTCTGCACCATGTGAAATCATTATCTCCTGGAAAAATTATGGCGTTTAATTTGTGGCAATAAAATAACCAAAACCAGATCAAGACGCATGGAGGAACCACAATCTGAACTATTTGATGCTGGATTCCAATGTGTACGCTATTATGAACATCGGGGCAAAGTGTTGGTTGGAGCTGAAGATAGTGCAATTAATATATTCAATATTGGTCAGTGGGGCAACATAAGTGACCGATTTCCCATTAAAACTCGCCTTCCTTCACGCAAAATGGCTGGTAATACAATTGATTCCATGGAACTGATTGCTGATGATAAATATGTCGTTTTAGGCTGTTCTGATGGTTATTTGCGTCTACTCACAGTACTGCCAAATAAAGTAATTGCAACGGCTGGTGATCATCAAACTGGAATCGAAAGTTTAACCGTAAACAAGAATACCAATGTTATTGCATCGACTGATCATTCAACTATCCATTTGCACCAATTTGAAGAGCAAAAAGAACCAGAAAAACCTTCAACATCGTCGTCAAATTTTTTCTCTGAATTATGATGAAGAGCAAAAATATAGAGAAAAAATTGAGATCCAAATTGCAGTAATTTTTTGAATCACATTAAGAATACTCATTGATTAAAATGTGCATTCAAAAGATGTATCTTTTTGGTCAGAAATCATTTGAAAAAAACTTGTATGTTTGCGAACTGTTACCAGGGAAAGTCTGTTGTCAAGTTTTGACCGTTGCATATTTGAAATCTTTTAAATGGACCAAAATGAGCATTCTTGAAAGACAAAGAGAAAAAAAGACGAAAAAAAGTAAAGAAACAAGTATTTTTCTTTCTTTCCTTTTCTTTCGTTCTTAACATTCTTACCTGTCTTTGCTGTCTGCTTTTTTGATTGCCATTTATCAGTTACAAGTTATGAAACAAATGAGTCTCTTCTGCAGATCATCAGTGTTACCTGATGGTGGTTACCAGATTCAGTTTGATTCGTAAATTCAGGTGTTAAATTAGGGCCTAAAAAGAGAGGAGAAAGAGGAAAGAAAGTGATTTTAGTGAAAAGTTGTTCCTTTTCAAAGGGTGGTTAAGATTTGGAGGATTTGGAGAAAGAAAGAAACATAAAGAGAGGGAATAAAGAAAGATAGATTGGAGGAGGAGGTAGACTGGCTAAAAAAGAGAGTGAAGGAAAGAGAAAGAAGGAGGATTTTGAGAGATAAAGAGAAAGAGAAAGCGGCAAGATAGAAAGACTGAGGGAAAAAGAGAGAGAGAAAGAGAGAGGCAGAGAGTAATGGATAACCTTTATAAGACCTGACTTGTTAAGATCGTCTTTTAGATTCTCATTCCTTCCTTCCAAGACAACAACAACACATGTAAACCTGTAAACAATCAAAAGCAACAACACATTAATAGGATTGAAACATTTCTTCTACATATTTACATAATCACATTTTTGTAACATTATTTTACCTTTTCTTACCTTTTCTACAAAACACCTCAACTCTTTTTTTTGTTTTTACCCCAACAAAAACAATTGTAAACAACTAATGTTATGTTATTTTGTATTATAAACATATAAAACACACAAAAAAACATTTCTTTTTTTGCCGTGCCAAAAATGGACTTAGTGTGTAGTGAAAATTGTGACACAAGTAATTTATTATCCAAAAAATGTATCACAATTCATGATCCTGTGATCCATGATGATGAACGTGTTCTTCAGAATCTACTTCTTACCCAGAATCGTTATGTTATCAAAACATCGTACTTCAAATGTTTGCAAACGGATCTTGATGTTTACATGAGAGAGTTAGTTGCCAATTGGATGCTTGAGGTGAGGACGATGATGATGATGATGATGATGCAAAAGATGATGGAAGAAGAAGAGACATGAGAGGTTGATAATCTTAATCACTGTTGTAAATTGTTACAATTGTAATAACATGTTTGCAAAATTGTCTCTCTCTCTCTTCCTCCTTAAATAGGTCTGTGAAGAGGAAAGATGTGAAAAGGATGTTTTCCCTTTAGCAATGAACATTATGGATCGATTCCTATCCCAAGTCCGAATCCGAAAAAGTCAATTACAGTTGTTGGGAGCTGTGTCATTATTCCTTTCATCCAAAGTTAAACAAATTGAGCCTCTCCGTGTAAATCGGCTCATCCTTTATTCTGATTATTCAATTACCAGGGATCAATTATCGGTAAGTCAACTATAAACAATCCACCTGATCCTTTCAAGCTCTCTATCTCTCTGTAAAACAAAACACCAAAAGAAACCGCTTAGCGCAACAGATGTACTTCTTCTTCTTCTGATACAACTTCTGATGTTTAATATCAAACGAGTACCATTTTCGCCTTTGGATTAGTTATTACATATTGTCCAGACACTTGAATTATCATTTTAATTTGGGTTAATTGGCGGGGCTTACTAACGGAAATATTATAATATAATTTTTACTAACAGCTTGTATTGCATTTGGCTTAAACATTTGCTATTTATTGGGTTTAAACACGGTTGAGAAGAGGCTCCTATTTTTTCCTATTGTTTTGGGTTAATCGTATCAAAATGTATTACTATGTTACACTGTTTCAAATTTTAATTGTTTATTATTCATCCTAATTTTCAATTGCTCGTAACCAAATAATATTTCAAATGTGATTACAAGAGGATTTATATTTCTTTCTGTTTCTTTGTATTTCTTCTTTCTACCAGAATTGGGAACTTCTAGTTTTGAGTCATTTAAAATGGGATACAAGTGCTGTTACTCCCAATGATTTTCTCAATCTGATTCTTCGCCGATTACCTACCAAAGGAAAGGATAAATTGATGACGATAAAAAAACACGCACAAACTTTTATCGCACTATGTGCCACAGGTAAATACAACTAAACCTGTGATAATGCAACAAGAACGGGACCAGCTTTTTTCCTCCAATTTTTCAACCTCTTTTCCAAACATCCTTCTACCATATTGTCCACCAAATCAACAAATCAACCATATTCACCAAACCATCTCACTTTTTGTAGAGATTGGTCTCAACAACATTGTCCATTACATTTCAATCACTTCTCGTCATACCTTCCAACACCCAAATTAAATCAAAGTGTGCACCACTTTTCGGATGTTGTCAATATGAACTTCTCAATTGTGAAGAGTCGAGTTCCAAAATATAGTGAACAACTTGGTGGATTTGGTGCATTTGGGTGATGGATAATTTGAGGAAAGTGATTGAAAAAATGGTGAAATGTCCTTTGAAAAGTGGTGGATAAAGTGGTTGATGTTGCGGAAAAAAGATGGTCCCCTAAAAATCGACTAATATGAATCGATTTTTAACACAAAATTTTCAGCTCATGGTTGAAGATCGTCCATCAATATTTCTGTTTACTAAAATGATTTTTATTTTTATTCTCAGATTTTCGTTTCTCTATGTTACCACCTTCTTCCGTTGCTGCCTCATGCATTGCCACTGCCATTCTTGGTTTGACCAGGAACAATTCGCAATCAACCAAAGATTTGCTCGCCACACTCTGTAAATTAACCAACCTTGAGAGTACTGATCTGCTGGAGATCCGTAGAACCATTGAAGAGGTTCTGAAAGCTCAGTAAATTGTTTGAATCACATTAAGAATACTCGATTTATTAAAATAATGTGCATTCAAAAGATGTAAATCTATCTGGATACGCTTGTGTGTTTCGAGCTTCTATTCCAGCGAACGTCTATTGTTAAGTTTCGACCGTTATTTGGATTCTTGTTGATGAACCAAAAAGACAGACAAAGATTACCCGAACGAAAGAAAAGAAACAATTTCTTTCGTTTTTCACATTCTTAACTACTTCTGTTATCTGCCTGTTTGATTGCTATTATCAGTAAAACTATGAAACAAACCACTCTCATCTTCAGAGTCCTCAGTATTGATTCATGGTGTGAAATAAAAAAATATGAAATAAATAAAATGTGAAATAAAATTGTGCTTTAAAATTGTGAAATAATAAAAAATAAATACAGCCAAATAAATAACTCGTTAACATGTACTTTCTTTCATAAAAATGCTGAAATATTGCAGTCCAATTAAAGTCTTCCGCCTGATATCAGTAATTGTAAATTTAGATTGTTTCAATCAGTGTAAATAACATTGCCTAGAGTAAAAGAGCCAAATTTCCGATCGGATGCTGAGGAACCTCTTTTTTTTAATTACCTCGAGTACTAGTAGCTGTTCACTTCAATTATCAAACATTTCCAAGGATACATGGCCATTTTTCTTGATAAGTTCAAGAAAAGAGGCTCAATTTGATACAAAAAGTTGTTGATAGAGTATAATAATTAGAACGAAAAATATGTACGTATTAGTTTCATCACAGTAATTATCTTGCTAAAGTTAACATCAACATTACTTTTGTCCATAAGGCTGGTGGTGAATGTTATTGGAATGCAAGTAACAATTAAACATATATAACTGGGTTAAAAAGTGAATTAATATTCAATTATGCGGAACAGATTGTTTTAATTGACACAAAATAATTTAATAACTATTTGAACAATCTGCTGAGGACAGATGATAATTTAAAAATTTATCATCTGTCCTCCTTGAGGATTCATTGAAAGACTGAAATGAATCACAAAACAAGCAAAGCAACTTCGTGATGTGGCTCCCTCTGTTGTTTAAATAAAGTCGCCTTGAGACTGCTCCAAATTGTAGGCTGACAGTCAACACCAAACTTGCTCCTTTAATTATAATTAAATAATAGTGTTGAACCATAACAATTGATTGATTTTCGTGTCTCATTTTCTCACTGGTTGCTGTTGTTCCAATTAAACATCATGAGTGGTGATAGCGAGCCACAGAAAAGCCAGGAACCTCAACCCATTGAATCCATGTGTGAGGGAAACAATGAACCTGTTGCTACTACTCCGATAATAGATGGAAAGTCAGATGATAAAGAAGCCCGTAAAGCAGCCTTCAAAGAGTTTATCAAAAGTATACCCCGTACCTGTTCACCAACAATTTGTGGGACCGTTGGTTGTCCGAGTCCAGGTATTTCCAGGGTTGACGCCGATTGTTCGGAGGAATGGCATACTCAAGAATTTAACTGGTCTATTGATCAGATAGCCATACTAAATCCATGTGATATATCTTTAGATGAGCAATTCAACGGTGAACTAACCAATCTACTGGATTCCTCTTTAGAACGAGAAAATGAACAATTTTTCGAACAGTTAGAAATTTTACCATCTCCAGCTTTTTGTAGGTTAAACCTTACTCCAGGAGACGGTCAAGGCTCTTTTCTGACACCATTTACTCGATTACCGCCTGGTAATCGGTCTACTCCATATCAACCTTGTACACCTCCACCGACACGCAGTGCATCTCGTACTGCACGATTATCATCCGCTTCATCAACCACCCCATATAGTTCAATTAAGACAAAGAACAAGAAAAAATTGTTTAACGACAATCAAGATGACATATTTGAGGATTCCGAATCAAATGTACCTATGTGCTCTATAGATCCTGAAACCGCACCGTTCTCCTTATCACTATCATCTCCTTAATTTTACGTTATGTTAATTCTAGAGCAAAGAAAGCAAAGAGGAGGAAAAATATTTAAATTTCTATCTGCTATCATTAAATCTATCCTTTTTTTCATATCCATCTGTATATGCAATACATGTATATTGATCATCAATTATTTTGTGTGTTCTGTCAAATCTTGCAGACAAAATTGGATTTCCTCAACACGTTCAACTCAAAATCAATTCTTCAAATGTTCTGTATCATATGCTCTACAAAATTTTTCATATTTATATATCATCGTACACAGATTTCCCTTGTTTTCATCCAAATGAGTGATTAACAGTCCGCGACCCATTCTGTTGGTTTACTGTTGTTATCAAAATTAAACGATCGATTGTATACAAATTCATCTTTGACCTGAAAATAACTAACCAAAAGATTGTTTCCTTACTATGTCTAGATGTAAATCTGGATCAATTCAAGTCACTCTCAAAGACAAAAAAGCAAGACCCACAGCACTTACACTTTCACCATGATTACATTAAGTAATTTTCTTAATTTAGTTCAACTCGTATTTTGGGTAATTATAATTGATTTTGGACAATCCATTCTAATTTCATAGCTTTCCAAGTAACAAAGGCCCAAGATGATGAGTTGAAGAGAAAGTAAATCAAAGTCTGTAAAATTTTAAAGCAACTTTCACTGCTATTAACAATTTATATTAATGATTTGTATTTTAATGATTTGTATTAATGATGATTATAAGAAATATGTTTTTCCCTTAACATGACTACTATAAACAGTTTAAACTTGTACATTATCATCATCATTGGGTCGATACGATCACTGTTTTTGGGCATTCTCAATCACATAGCACTGTGATTGTATTGACACATTATCCTTTCAGTACAAAACAGTTAATTTATTTTGTACATTTGATAGTAAATTGTCTCTTAATTTATATCATTGATTCATTTTTCATCTTGGTTACTGGCTGAAACGCCATTTTCAGTATTTCATATCAATAATTCAATTGTTTACGAAGTTCCGACTCAAATTATTCCTCAACAATCAATACATATCCTGTCACGCTAGTGATACAAAATAATTTGTTAATTTAAATCATTACATTGCCAATTAAGAAGACATTTACCATCAAATAATTTTCCTCAACCCAGTCTCTTCGTTATAAAGTATTTTCTGGAGCAAAATTATGCTTTAATACTAACAGTTTCATTCATTTTATGGTTAACCTAGTGATAAAATCAATCACCTAAAGTGATATAAATCAAGTGAATTGCTCAGTTTAAATATACTTAAAACAAAACCAAAATGGATGGTGAATTGTCCATACATATGACTGGATTACAAATCCATAGTGAATCTTTCCGTGAATTGTTGGCTGAATTTCTTGGTACAGTTGTTTTAGGCGTAAGTAGCAATTTATTAATTGTAATCAAAACGATTGCTAGCAAAAATTTCAGTCTGTTGAACTAATCTCAGCAGTTTGTAGTAAAATCAAGATAGATGTCAGATTTACATTTGCAATTTGTCGCTAAATCCAGATAATATACTAATGCATATTTTATTAGTAAATATTGGGTGAATCAGTTAATTATAATCGAATCAACTTGCACATTTCTCTAATTGAGTGTACAATGAAAGGTTGACACTCTTTAGATTTGAAACTGTAATTTTTTCAGGTCTGAGGACACTTGTTTACATGTGAAATTATTATCATTTACATGTCATTTTTTATCCAATTTTTTATCCCTCTTTTTAATTTAATTATACACCTACAATTAGGGCTTAGGCTTTTCTGTGAATGCAAATTTATTCCTTAAAAATATCTCATCACCATTATTAACACCTTGGGTTTGGGGCCTTGCGCTAACATCAGCAATATACGTTTGTGGTGGTGTATCAGGTATACCTTTCATTATTATAATAAATATTATATATTCTGTGTTGATATTATTGTAATCAGTTTAAAACAGTTTATGGTAATGATGTCCATTTGATTAATTTATGCATTATTTGTTATCAAAATATAAATTGCGTTAAAAGGCGGTCATGTCAATCCAACGGTAACTTTGGGTCTTGCCTCAGTTGGTAAATTATCTTGGTCCAAGGTTCCTCATTATATCATCGGTCAATTTGTTGGTGCCTTTGCTGGTTCAGCCCTCACTTATTTGGTTTACTTTGAAGCCATTTCTAAATTTACACGGGACAATCCTGAAGCTCAAAATTTGACGTCCAGTATATTTGTGGGAGTATCGACAAGTCCTGTGAACAATTATACCAAATTTATTGATCAGGTAAGACTATTAATTATTAGCCTTTCAACTTATCCATTTAAGTTTATAATTTTAGGGTAATATTTTATAAAACAACCTGAAAATAAATAGATAAAGTAAATTACAAACAGAAACAAAGAGACATAAAAAGATGTAAACAACAAGCAAATTACCTGAAATATGGTCACCTTCTGAGCTAATCCTAGATTTATTCAAATTTTCAATCTCACAATACCAATTTAATCCTTTATTTCACTAACCATTTAACCTATTGAGTGTTAATCTGTAAATTACAATTGGTCATTTCATTGTTGATCAAAGTAACAAAAGGTTGGCCAAATAATGAAATAATGGTAACAACAGTTGAGCAAGCAAATGAGACAACAACAAAAAAAACGTAATCAACAATTGCTTAAATAGTAAACATTGTAAACACATTTTTGTTGACAAACATCAACCTTAACCTAGACCTATTTCAATAATGATAGGCTGATAAGAATTCAGTTTCTCAAAGAAAGAATCTGAATCTTTGTGAAGGGAAAAAAATACACAAAAAATATTGAATCCAAAAAGCCAATAGACAACAAAAAAAGTATCATTGTAATGCAATGCATTTACATGAAGCTAAGAAGTTAAGTTGAAAGGTTTTTGAGCATTTCCAAAGATTCCGACCACATCTTCAAGTGGAACGAGGTTATAATGGCTTGACCTGGTCAATAGTTGGAAAAATATAAAAAAACAAAGGTAAAAAAAGGGTGAAAGGTCATTTATATTGAAAGTATATATTTATTAGTGTGTGTGTACTCAACGGTCAATGCAAAGACTAAAAATTATCAAGGCAAAAAAAGCCTTGTTAAGCCTTAAAGCCAAAAAAAGGTAGACATAAGAAGATGAATAAAGAATGGTTTAACCGTTTCTTTAGTTCCTCATTTTTGATAAATTTTGTGAAAGTGACCACAGTGTAGATACTCACCAGGAGGTCACAAGGTTACCCTTTCAATTGACCTTTTTTTCCATACAAAACTGTTGACCAACACCATGGTTGTTGACTGTAACTTTGTCCAAATAGTAATGCTTAAGAAGCAGGCAAAAGATTCATTCCTCATCATCATCCTTATCGCCGTCGTCATCGTTGTCTTCATCATCATCATATTATTGAACATTTATTGTCAAATAAGCTTGTTTTGTGATCAACCAACGATTGGTTAGGTAAGTAGTGCAAGGTTTGTTGAACACAAAGAACCAAGCCCACAACTCGGCCCTCACAATCAGCTAATCCTTTCCTTAAATCATCATCATCATCATCTTTCTTCATCTCTCTCTCGCCCTGTCCACCTCTTGATCCTCCTCTTCACTGGACTGAAGTTACTGGTCTTTGTCGGTCTCATTTTGCTTTTAAAAATGTATTCAAAGTCCTGATTTTTCCCTTTTCACTGCAGTTTTCCTTTTCCTTTTCATCCTTTCAATGTCATTGTTGTTGTCCAATTTAAACACAACAACTAAGTTACCCTTTGATTCCAGAATTGACCAGGTTAACCCTGTAATAGGCCTTCAAATGACTCTTTAAACATAGTACTTAACATAAACAGTTCCATCTTTCATCTCGTCTTTTCAGTTTCTCCTTTTTTTGTTGCCGTTCTTGTATTTTCTTCGTGCTGTTCAATTCTTTGACCTGGAAATTAAACAAAAAATATCATATTATTCATCACTATTTATTTATTTCTCTATTCAACTTCAAGCTTCAACAGCAAATTATGACCGAAAAAGATACGCCAATTGACACACTGGTTAGCTTGTTTGCCTTACCTTTTCATGCAACCCATTAGGATTTTCATTATACCCTTTCAACCCAATATACCTGATAATTGAAAATTTTATCATCTCCAACTTGTATCATTTAGTAAGGTGATCATCTAGTAATAAGATTAGAATAATATTATTTAGCTTCAATGCGGTATTTTTTTGCAGGCTGCATTTCAACTGCAATGTTAAATTGTTTCAAATTTTTCAAGAGCTGGACACTTGAGTATACAAATTATTCACACTTACTTATTGATTACAATGGACGATGATGATGGAAAATAAGGAATTAGCATAACCAGAAGAAGCCAAAATATCAAAATAAATTACCGTTTTAATTCAAGTGTTCCTTTGCATCTTTGTAACATGTTTAAGATGCCAAGTTTTTATAGTTATTTTTGTTTGGCTCCTAAGTTATTTCATTCATTTGTTTACTTACCTGGGTTTACATTGTACACAGAAGGAATGTAAAGATGATGAGAAGGATGAAAATGAAAAAAGGAGGAGACCAATCTTTGGTAAAAGCAAAAGAAGAAACACTTTTTATGAATGGAATCTTAGGCCTTTTCTTTTTGAAACTGGTGAACAAGAAAAAAATATCATAAAGAGCCTGAGAAACTGCCTCAAGGCTTAAATTGTTGCAATCAATAAGATATTTTATTTTTACTATCACATAGTTATCATGTCCCTATGGCTATTTCATTTGGTGGCTACTGAAGTCACTAATAAAAAAATAAAACTGATGACGCTCTCTCTACCTCAGCCAAAGCTCAGCCGATTTGCTAACCTAATCTGGCTGCCTTTTACTTTGCTTAAATTATTACATTTAACTTCAATATATTAACTTGTCATTTTATAAGTTTAATTGTTTAAATATCTATAAACAATTTAAAAGTCAAATTGACTCTAATTGATATAATAAATCAAAGGTAACCCAATTTTTGAATGTCCGCCAAAGATTTAGCATAAAATAAGCGGGATAACATAAAAAGCATGTTAACGGCTACACATGACTGAAAATTTTCAATTTTTATTTCAATCCAAATAATTGATCAACTTGCCTAGAGTAAAATTATTATTGCATTTAACTTGTTATTTATATAAGGATTTGATTTATAAATTGTTGATTGTTAAACTGGTTAATCACTGTTGACCATTTCATTATTATGATGTTTCCAGTCTTTTTTCACTTTTCATCGTATAAATAGCTGTTGAACTGTTCTTACCAGACTCTTGAACCTGCCTATTAATTTATCTCTTGCGTATCATCACCATTATCACCATCACCATCAACATACTCATCATTTTACCTTGATGCTTTGATTATATTGGAAAAGAGGAAAAATGTTAAACCTTCAGTCGTTATGAGTATCTGTATTAATGGTTAAACAAAAACGGATAGGTCGGTTTGTTTATAAGTGAAAATATTTGTTACCAAGCTGATGAGAGTGACACTACAATTTAAATTGCCTGAAACCATGTTAACGTGTAACTTTAAGGCCTTAAATTTACCTTATTTTTTCTACCTTCATCTAACTAATGGTCATCATAATAATCAGTAAGTTTAAGTAACTAAGTAAGTATGATGATGAAGATGAATTTAAAGCATCTTTCTCATGATCTTTAAGACGTTTTCTCGCTTCACTGAACACAAGGTATATACACCAAGGTATGTGTACACTTATACAGATACACTAACAGGTATCGAGTGTATTACTATGTATATGTACATAAATATACATATAACATAAACAACACCAAGCCCAATACGAAAAGGCAAGAAATGTTTAAGAAAAAAAATAAGGTATAAAAAAAGCAGAGAAAATATTTTACCCCGATCTTGGAACAATTTAAATTGTTCAATTATATGTTATCATCGCATACTCAGTGTAAGAAGATAAAGAAGCATCAAAATATATATTATCTTCTTGACTTTAAAATGTAATTTATATTTATATCTTTAACTTCTTCATCTTCATCCTCACAACCATCATCATCATTTTAACGATGCTTCCTGTTTTTTTGCCAACCCAGATAACCTTGTAACACATATATCAATATGTTAAACATTTTTATCATACACTTTCCCTATTTACCTGTTTGTTTTGCAGCCTGTTAGGCCTTAAACAAATCCAAACAGTTGGCTAAATTATGATCAAGTCAATGACCAATCATGATTTAGATTTGCCTATCGGCCTAACAAAGTACAACAAAATTTATGGGTTAAAAATGTTAACCCAAAACTTGACCAGCATTTCTTGTGTTAACCTTTTTTCTGGTGTTTTGTTGCAATATTGGCTGTTGATTTTTTTTCAATCAATGCTATTGTTTTTAATCACCTCTTATTAGTTGATTAATATTGATGGACCGTGGGAATGGTTAATGTTGATTGATTAATGATTACTATTTACTATTTGGCCTTAACTTTGATTTGATTTCCTTCCTTTTCGAGGTTTATTTTCATTCAAAAGTTTCACTTTCACTCCGCTTTCCTATTCATTTTTCATTCACAAAAGTGTACAAATTTTTGATTGAAAATGCCTTAAAGGGCAATTTTAATTAAAAGGGTATCAAGTTGTTAAACTATTAACTTTATTATAAAATCTGGTAAAGGGAAAGGATTTGATTATAATGATAGCGATGATTAAATTGTTATGCTTCACTGATTTAGCTTCCAGAACGGAAACTCGATGGACTTACATGTTAACATATGTAAAGTTGCTATTTAATCATAATAGATTGATTGTAAAAACCTTGAGCTGATGTAGTTAGCGTAATTGTGTCCAAGTATCAGATGATCATTTCATTTCTATTTGCAATCAAAAGGTGAATCTGGGTAACTCTCATTTTCTGCTAATTGTCTTCACAACTTAACCTTTATTTTCATTATTTTTGTACTCATACAATCCTGTCAACTCAAATATTATTGATTTAATTTTAATTTGATTTCTTTCATTTCTTTCAGACTGTTTGCTGTGCATTTTTCCTCTTGATTATCAATGCAATCACAGATGATCGTAATATGTCATGTTCAAAGGGCCTGGTTCCATTGGTTATTGGAGTGGCTGATTTAACTTTATTGTTATTTGCCTTTGGTTATAATGCTGCGGAGCAAATCAATCCAGCTATGGAATTGTCACCGAGATTTCTGGCCTGGATCATTGGACATGATGTGTTTAGGTAAATTGGCTGATACAATTTAGAGGCTTAAACACTCCCAGTTAGGGCCAAGCTCAAGGACTCAAAGATTCTAATGAAAGACTGGCCACCAATGATTAGGCCTTCATTTGGCTATTAATATCTTTCATTGTCAAGCTTTGATTCAGTTCATCAAGTTATAATAGATTCAGTACAAGTTCATGTTATAAAATAATCGACAACTGTTTTCCATCTGGTTACAAGTCAAATATTATGTCTGGTTACAGTTGAAATTTAAATTTTAATCAGATAACGTAATATTGTAATTCAATTTGACTGAATCGTTATTTTGTCGATTGATTTTTACACAATGTCTAATATTAAGTTCAGATAGGGTGAAATCAATTCATTGATTTTATCGATTGACTTTGAAATTGGTTGAAATTTTAATATCGATTTGACCAAGACCTGTATACCTTTTGATGAGTGAATTTTTCCTCCCTATGATTTGAATTGCGCTTGTTAATTTTAAATTGACTTGGCTTAAACTTGGCTTTTTGCACTTAATCTTATTTGATTGATTAGTGGAACAATATTACAACTTTTAAATGTTAGGTTAATTGATAATATGAATATATACTTGTAATGATATAAAGTTCAGAGAAATTTGTTTAAAAGCTTTATTTCTATGATAATTTTAACCTTGAAGTGTGTTTTGCAAATATGCAAATTACATTTGATTGATTTGTTCAATGTTGAGAAAAATTTTAGTCTCATATTTAAGTTATTGATTGACAAGTTTCAATTGATTTACACTGTCTTTTAGATTATGTTGTCTGAATGTTTCTATCGAAATGGTCTAATGAAATAGTTAACAGAGCTTTCTTTGATTCTGAATGCTTTATGCAAATCATTTGAAAAATATCAATGCTGGCTAATGCATGGATTTGAAGTGTTTTATTATTGTGAGATTTTTGCAAGATAATTAGAAATTTGGAATAATCAATAAATGCTGATAACTTTGAAACATAAATTTAACAAAAATCGTTAAATTATGATGATTAGGATCAGGGCTTATTAAGAATCACTATGAATAATTCATTCCAATGAACTGGAGGGCAAGTTTGCTGTGTAACTAATCAGGCTATAATTGTCAATATATTTCAAACCCAGATAAGGAGGTGAAAGGTTACTCTTGGTAATTATAACAGTAAACCCATGAGAAAGTAATGCACTTGGTTTATTAATTTAATTTGAGCGTTTCCATTGCCAATCTAATGCTGTTGAATCAAAATGTTGACTAATTTTATGGTTTATTGATTAACAGCTTCGACAAAATGGGCGACTATTGGGTTCCTTTACTTGGATGCTGTTTAGGTGGAGTTTTGGGTTCTTGGACGTATCGTTTGTTCATTGAAAACCATTGGCCTGATGAAATGTTTGAGAGACCTTCAACTGGAGCTAAACTGAGTGCCAATATGGATTATTTTTTCAACGGTAAAACACCGAATCGCGTGCATCCTATTTAGCGGAATGGGACGGAGGCCAACAATTAACCAACCTCGAATGGAGCCAGCAAACTTAAGAACAGTGAACCAATTAAGGTTCTATAACCAATTACACCAACATCATGACCCGTTGTCACCTCTAACTGATTCATCCAGAGTTGTATGGAAGAAACCTCCATATTTAACTCTTTCATCATTATTATGAGCTCACAAGATTAAATTGTATTATACACGTATCATTTAAATAAAGAAATCACTTTCTAATGACTTTGCTGATGATTTGTTTACGGATGTAGTAGAATCAAAAAGTGGACAAGGGCACTAAATAGAAATCCAACATTCGAAAGTAAAATAATAAGTAAAAGCAACCATTCAAATCAAATAACGACTTGCGTTAATTTACTATAACGAATATTAAAGTTAATTGAAGTATACGCAGATTGTAACAAATGCAAGTTAAATTAGACTTTATTACATTCATCATAAGAAGTTTACTGGGTGTATTGTTCTTGTTTCTTTTGCTGTAATCTCTCTTCACGTCTCCTTCTAGCTTCCTTGGCTCGTACTCTTCTGGCTTCAGCGGCATCGGCAAGTTGCTTGCTTCGTAATTTCTCAGCCTTCATCTTGTGAATGGTTTCCATCAAAACTCTCTTGTTTTTAAATACATTACCCTTAGCTTTACGGTATAATGTATGATAAAGATGAGAATCTATCTTCTTATTAGTTCGATATTTTTTCAATAAACGTCTAAGAACTCTCATCCTACGAATCCATAAAACCTTTGTTGGCATACGAGCATTGGCTGTACCCTTTCTTTTACCGGGACCGGTGTGTCGACCCTTCCTTCTTGCTTCAGTATTAGCTCGTACTCTTGCTCTAGAATGGACAGCAATTGGTTTCCTAATAATTAAACCATCTTTAATCAATTTACGGATGTGGGCTCTTGAATTAGCGTTTCCAAGTTCACTTGATTCATTAGGATCCAACCAAACTTTATGGATACCACATTTCAGCACCTTGGCTGCAAGTCTCTTTTGGAGTCTAAGAGAACTATTAAATCATCAGCCAAGAGTAATCGACCAATGGAAACATGTGAAAGGACAAAAAAGAAAAATGAACAATTATTAGACAGTGATTCAATATGTTAAATAAAACAATCAAATTGAATTATAAAATCATGTGAAAATATCAGAAAAAATACAGCAGCCATTGGAGTTTGTTTTCATCAAGTTTCAAACGGTAATTCCAATTAATCATCATATAACATGATAAAAGTGTAGAGCTAGGTAAAATTTACAAATTAAATAATAATTTAACTTACCTCATGGTTACAAAAGGGCCAAACTAACAATCAAAATAACTTAACAAAATTACTTTTTGGTTAAAAACAACCAACACACGATTGGTGAAATGAATGGCTTCCTTTTCCGGGCGCAGTATCCAAGCAACAGCCAAATATAATCAATTCTGAAGCGCTATCTTCAAAATTATTTTAATAATCTTTCCATTCTTTTCTCCTTTAAAATACAAAGTTTATAATTGATGAAGATCAATAGAATGAACTCATTGTTTCATTAATTGCGAAAACAGGATTTCGAATGTACAAATATGAAAATAATTTTCTAATTCAATTAGATTTCATTAAAATACGTTCACAATTTCCATCGTTATAGTAAATTTTATATCATAAATAATAATAATCATGAGTAGGGCTGTTGAATAACCGATCTCGTGGTATCATCAGTACGATGCTGAATCTTATTTTGGTTTTTTTTCTTACAATTAGACATTAAAATCAATTCGAAACTAAAAATCGAAATGATTTAAGTAAAAAAATAATTTAAATGTAGCGCTTTAGATTTTATTAAATTTGGCTGTTGCTTGGATACTGCGCCCGGAAAAGGAAGCTTCATTTTCTTCTTACAATTTCGTGTTGGTTGTTTTTAACCAAAAAGTAATTTTGTTAAGTTATTTTGATTGTTAGTTTGGCCCTTTTGTAACCATGAGGTAAGTTAAATTATTATTTAATTTGTAAATTTTACCTAGCTCTACACTTTTATCATGTTATATGATGATTAATTGGAATTACCGTTTGAAACTTGATGAAAACAAACTCCAATGGCTGCTGTATTTTTTCTGATATTTTCACATGATTTTATAATTCAATTTGATTGTTTTATTTAACATATTGAATCACTGTCTAATAATTGTTCATTTTTCTTTTTTGTCCTTTCACATGTTTCCATTGGTCGATTACTCTTGGCTGATGATTTAATAGTTCTCTTAGACTCCAAAAGAGACTTGCAGCCAAGGTGCTGAAATGTGGTATCCATAAAGTTTGGTTGGATCCTAATGAATCAAGTGAACTTGGAAACGCTAATTCAAGAGCCCACATCCGTAAATTGATTAAAGATGGTTTAATTATTAGGAAACCAATTGCTGTCCATTCTAGAGCAAGAGTACGAGCTAATACTGAAGCAAGAAGGAAGGGTCGACACACCGGTCCCGGTAAAAGAAAGGGTACAGCCAATGCTCGTATGCCAACAAAGGTTTTATGGATTCGTAGGATGAGAGTTCTTAGACGTTTATTGAAAAAATATCGAACTAATAAGAAGATAGATTCTCATCTTTATCATACATTATACCGTAAAGCTAAGGGTAATGTATTTAAAAACAAGAGAGTTTTGATGGAAACCATTCACAAGATGAAGGCTGAGAAATTACGAAGCAAGCAACTTGCCGATGCCGCTGAAGCCAGAAGAGTACGAGCCAAGGAAGCTAGAAGGAGACGGGAAGAGAGATTACAACAAAAGAAACAAGAACAATATGCCCAGTAAAATTCTTTTGATGAATGTAATAAAGTTAATGTAACTATATACCGGTGAATTACATTCTTGTTTTATTTTTTTAAGCTTCTATCTAGTTTCACCTGTTAATGCAAAAATCTTATTTTTTACAACTCTATTAGCAAGCAATCGGACTTGACTATTCAGTGAAAATTTGAACTTATTGTCATCAAACAGTATAATTTTTTCTTCGTAAACAGCAAATAATATCGAGTATTATAAAAATTATTTTCAATTCGGAACGAATCACGATGTTTCTTATAGCATTAATCTTATTTGTTGAATATTAATTATTTGAAATACCCACAAGTTATTTGATTTTTTACGGATTTCGCAGGATTTTGTAACACTTGTCAATTTAATGCCTGACAAGGTGAATTAGATTGACTGTGTTTTCAAGATAAAATTCAGTTCATTCAGCTTATCTCAAACCTACACTACACTTTCAATAGGATAAGTATAGAAGATAAGGGAGGCAGAAAAGATGAAAAGGAAAAGAGAGAAAATTTCATGAGTCTGTGTATAAAGATTCATAGGCGTCAACAGAGTAACAGAATCAAAGTTCATAACGATTTCCATGTTCAACAAACTTAACTCTTAACTTTGAATTAACCTTACGTTAAACAAGCAAAATTCACTCAGAAATATTTCAACAGTTGACCAAACTCACTGATCAACAATGTTGAATAAAACAGTAAACATAAATCAGTATTTCTTAAATAATAAAGTCTAATTGTCAATTTAAAATTCAAATGTGACCGTTACAATTGAAAACTGTTTGTTAAAGAAACTTTACTTTTGTGTTTGTATTGACTTTCAATTGGAATGGAGTGAAGTTATTGCAATAAACTTGAACCATCGTCATTCATGATTAATTTTATGATAAACTTCATGATAGGTCATTTTTATTTAATGATCAATGACTAAGATTGCGCAAAGATTCACACAAATTGACAAAAAGAGGGTGAAAATTGCAAGAAAATCTGAAAAAATGAAGATAATTTTCATTGATGTATTGATAACTACTTGTTTAATTTCATTTGTATCAAGTGAAAACTATTCATCGGCATCTCCATCTTCACCTTCACCTTCATCTTCCCCTTCGTCATCATCACCTCCATTAATATCAGCTTTAATCTCATCTAGTGAACCTTCAGTCAACAATCAACAACAGCATTACAATTCATATTCATCATTGCCCATTTTAACCCCTCATTCAGCAATTAAATTACATTCTCTTCCATCCAATATTCCGCGATTTTTAAAACGTTTTGAACTCGACCTTTCAAAGATCAACAATGGTCAAAATCATCTGCTGGGCTCATCTTTAACAGCTTATAAACAACACCAAACAAACCCAAAACCTCTTGAATTACCGTTACCAAAACTGTTATCAATTGACCTTTCCATTCTCGACAAACCTTTAGCCTTACCAATGAGCTATTATGGTGATTTTGATGATCTTTCATTTCCCAGAGGCAGTAGATCCAATGAAATAGATGACAATCTTAACCTAAACCTGAACCAGGAAAACGGTAACATTAAAAACCTCGCAACCAACACCAAAACCGAAACAAATAGCAAAAGCAACCCTAAAGAGATCAATTACAATTCAAATGATAAGAGTAATTATATTTTGCCTAATAATAATGGTGAAATGGATTACATTGGTCATTATTTTGACTTCAATGATGATATACCGAATGAGGTTCCAATGGATCCAGTTTATTTTGATGATGAGCAAGGTGATCATTCAATGACTATCAACGGCCAAGTTAACAGTGAACAAGAGAACGATTATCAACCCAGTTTTGACCATTTACCGGATCATCTATCAACAGGCAATGATGCACTTTCAGATTATCTAGCTGAAATCCGATCATCAAGTAATCACCAATTTCCCTATCAACATCACCATAAACATAATCACCTTCAAGAGGTAAAACAACATGAAATTGTTTTACCTTCACCATCGCCATCTCAACCATTGAAATCATCTTCACCTTATTTTGTTGAATCTGTTTATCAACTTGCAAAATCTGAGCCTCCAAAGGCTATCTCAATTGTTGACCTTTTCAAACACTTTAACCATGAATCCTCTTCAAACCCAATCAACCCAATGATACCAAATTGGTTTCACATTGGTCAACCCGATTTATTAATGAACACTCTTCAAGGATCATTACTGTTGCCGGTTAAAAGTGAAACTCAACCAAACCAGATTAACAATGAAAATCTCAATCAACACCTAAATCAACATCTGAATCAACATTTTAATCAACATCCCATTATATACCAAAATCAACAATCATATGGAGCAGCTTCACGTAAAGGTCCAACTCATTTAATTTTAGATAACTCTATTTTAAACAATCAATATCATAATGTTCATCATCATCAACATCAACTTCCATCTTCCTTTTCAATACAATCTTTAGCTGATGTTAATCACCGTAAAAATGATAATAATGAAAATAATGTTAACGATAAATCAGTGCAAACATTATCAAATTTAGCTCAACTCAACCATCAAGTTAATAGAGATTTAGTCAATATTAAACCAATCAAATGATCAAATATTTAGTAATTTTCATCTTTTGACCATTTAACTTGAAATAATTCAACACCACAAATCATCATTCACTCATTATTATGATTATCAGTTTGGACATTAACATTTTAGTCTCTGACAAAGTGAAATCAAATCAAATTGTAAATTGGTTATGATGAACATTTATCATTAAAGATTTCTTGATTGACTGTTAATTGACACCTTATTATTAGTTACAGCACAATTAATTGTTATTTTAGCTCTTAAATCATCTTCTTTTTGTTTTATTCATTAAAAGCTGTTTGAAATTAATTGAAATCGTTTCCACTCTTCATTAACTGTTCATCAAAAAGCTGATCAGTTGACTTTTAATTGCAGAGTTTATTGATGAAAATTACTAGTTAACTCCAACAATCAAGTCTAAGAAACTTAAATTACTCCCAAATCTGATACTTGATAATGATGGATTACAATGATTATAATTTGTCAAGCTATTCCAATCAAATCCCAATTAGCATTAAACAATGGACAATATGATTTTGATATGAATGGTTAAATGAACATTGTAATAATATTTTTGTCTCTGAATCTAAATTTAGGTTTTAGAGTTGGTTTGATTGAAATTGAACGAGAAATGTAAATTAATCACAATTAGGCGAAAATGACTCTTCACTTCATCATTACCATTAGTTGTGCATTATCAATTGTTTTACTTGTTCATTTTGATGGTTATTATGATGATTACATGAAACATTGATGATAAAGTGTAATGAAATTTGCTTTGTTAATATACATAAATATAAATTAATGGCTAAACTGAAAGCTCATTTGTTTTCACAATTAAAACCTTTATTTGGAAACAGTTAGATGTATTTTTATGGGACTGTTGAACGTTAATGGTAAGTTATTGCAAAAAAGGTCACTGGAAACACAAAATAGACGAGATTCATGGACTGATAATAGATTTATGATAATATCGTTAATGTTTAATTCTGTCAACAAAATTAGCTTTCAGTTTAGTTGTGAATTGATTGATTAGTAATAGTATTGTAAGTTGGGTTGATTTAATTAAAAAAAAGGGCTCCGAAGCAAATGACAAAGGTAAATGTGAGACAAATGTCAATCAACTATTGAAGATATGATACAATGACAGTATCATTACATTGTTGTTATTAATAACTTTCCTTTTCATAGTTTAATTGTTAACATTGTTGTGGTTTAATTTAACTTTGTTTGGTGTGTCCATTGGGTTAATTAATAAAAAACCAAAGGTAAATCTGTGGATATTTTATCTTCCTTTGCATGGTACAGTGATTTACCTAATCAGATTGACTAAACAACAAGACATTCTAGATACTTAATTTAACAACTGTAATTGGATTTTTCACTGATTATGTAGATAATGTTAATGATGTGGGCTTCATTATTGATGATAATGATGAAGATGAAGATGGTTATGGTGAAGTTGACGGTTGTGATGATGGAAGAAGAAGAGAATTGACAGTAAAGATGAGTTAACAGTGAAAAGATGCATTACATTGAAGCAAGAAATCTCATTTAAGCCTTCTTTTAATAAAATTAAACCATTGATTTAGTAACACAAAGGCACAATTAAAAGATTATACTTTCTCGATTAATAATCAATTTGATTTTACACTTGACTTTGCTCATGAATTAAACATAAATGGTTACAATTAATCGTTAGGCCTACACATTTAGAGCTATCTTTTGTTATGAACTTTCACTTTTAAGGCTTATTAATAATCAAAGAGCTACTCTTTGTTATTAACCTTTGTTATGGCGCGACATTCAAGTTTGTCCTGTTGGTTGATAAATTGTGATTGAACGATGATTGATGCAACTTGGATCGGTGATTAATGAACAATCGATTGACTGAAATGAAGTAAAATTGGAAAGGTTGAAAGGTTACATTTTTGGAGTAATTCTCGATTTGGTCATTGGGTTTATTGTGTATTTTGATTATTTGACACTTGATAAGTAAATATACAATTTAGTTTCATCTTTAGCTGAGCTTTGATTCATTAAATTGTTTGAGGTAAAGAAAAGGATCATTGATCAATTTTAATGATTCTGATATCCTTTTACAGTGAATCTCAATTAGATTGGGTAAAGTTAAATATCAAGTTGACAGTTTAATTTAGTGATTGATCTTTGTCTAGTATATTGTTTGTTTCCCATTTGAAAGTGTCTTGGCTTTTATGCAATCAAATACGATTGAATATATTTAATTGTTTTTCATTTTAAACAATTTGAGTTAAACATTATCGTCATTATCAAAACCATTCCCAGTTGTTTGTCAATGTAAACAAATTAGATTCATACCAATGGTAACGGTAAACATATAGACAAAAAAGAAGCTGCTATTTGCTTAAAATAATCAAAGAGTTGATTTTAATACAAATTTAAATCAAAAGGTGAGCTTAATTTGACATAATTTACGCCATGGTTGTTAATTTGATTATGTGTTGGGAGTTGAAACGGTTGGGATTTAAATTATACATTAAATGAGATGAGGAAAGGTTAACTTATTGAATAAGGTTAGTTCAACTGGAAGCATAAATGGAGTGGTTAATGCATAATGGATTGTTATTATGTTGACCCCATAAAGATCAACTTGATTTAGATGTTAATAGTAGATGATGATATTAATATTAACAATTTGTCCAGATGGTCAAACAGGTTAAGTGAATAAGAATCAGAGTTAAGCATGCAAACAATCAATTGGATGATAATCAGAATGGTTGGTCGGTTGGTTTGAAGATTGAGAAACATACAGATTGATGAATGATGAAATGAATCAATTTGATGACTGAGTGAAAATCAATTCCAATCGTCAATGATCATTCAGTTAGCAATTCTTTTGTCTCATGAATAGACAATTGAGACCAAGAAACATAAGACAATGCCTTTAACTGCTCGTCGTCGTATGAAACGCAAAAACGCTCCCATAACACCAGAAGAGTGCAAATCAATTTATTCAACGGACCATATTAACTTTACAACCACCGATCTTCCCTGGTATTGTAATGGTATTATCCATGGTTCGAATAGTAACAAATTTAATTACGGCAAGACATATCTGTCATCGAAAGGAATAGGAGCCAATGTTAATCCTCACCGACCATCAACTGGACTGACTTTTGGCCATGTTTTCCCATCCTACCAGTCTAACCAACCTTCCCATCCATCACCAGATCTTCACCGTCGCTCTTCTAGAGGCACAGGACAACCTCCTCTCTCTTCATTCCGTTCACCTTCTCATCTGCCCTTACCAAATCTATTTCAAACAGGCGCGGCTTCACCGGTCATCATTTACCGTGATTCAGGTCCAAATCGTCCAAATGATTTAACGGTACTCTTCTCTGACTCCTCGGTTCCTGGTTTAAGAGAGATTTGTCACTCTGATTCTTATCTACGAAAGATTGTTTGGTTCGTTGTATTTACCCTGCTTGGTTTCCTTGCTCTCCGTGATATCCATCAGCTTCTGTCTGAATTTTACAATTATCCAGTTACTGTTGATGTTCGTCTCCGTGAAAGTCGTAAATTACCATTTCCAGCAGTAACAGTTTGCAATCTAAATATAGTTAGATTCAGTGCTCTTTGTAATAGCACATTTAACTTCTCCATGCCTGTTGAACTACAGGAAAAACTATGTGGAACCGTTGCAACTGCTCTTAACTCGGTAAGTTAATTAAATAATCAGTGACTAGTTAACTACTAAAAAGATTTAATACAAGTTAACAAAAAATATCACTTATAAATCACAATTATGAAAAAACCAATCCACTTGTTAAATGAAGCTTAAAACACAGCTCCCTCACACAGCTGATCCCCACTCCATGAGTCGTACGATTGTTTTAACAGTTATACAAGTTACATTTTCTTGCCAATTAAAGCATTTAGGTGAACATTTTAGATGACATAATTCAATCAAAACCTCAACAATACTATAAAATGAAATTAGTTAGTATGTTGATTTAGAAGCCATCAAAGTTGTAAATAATTTCAATGTTGAACAGAACGTATAATTATCCATATTTCCTTACTATTCCCAGTATCGCTCAAATAATCTGGTAAAATAAAAATTATCCACTCCCAGGTTGAGTTATTTTTTCATTCCAAATTCAATTAGCAATATTTTCCTTTTTAACTTTGCTTTTCATCATTTTGATTTACAATTGACTTGATTACTGACATAAAAACTAATAACCATTCAATAAAGACGAAGACTTTCCTTAAGAGTTATTAATAATTTAGACAGTATAAAAGACAACAATAAATATTGATCAATGTAAGTCAAATAAAGGAGGAAAAAAAAGTAGTTGAAGTTGATAAATAGAGAAGAGTTATTTGATTTCTTTATATTTCTAGAAAATAAAAAAGATGTAATTTCTGTTTTCTGACCAATTCGACAGAAAGGCAATTCTTCAATTGAAGACATCAATGACATTGGTGAAAAGAAACCCGATGATGAAGCTATTGAAGGATTTTCTTCATCCGCCATTCCCGATCTACGTAGTCAGACTTCAACCCATCCAACTACAACTAAAACCGGCGGAGGACCACTCAATGTAGGTGGAAATAACATTGGCAACAGTGCGACTTTTAGTGGTAATTCTGGCGCAGGAAACACTTCAAATATTGGAGCAGGTGGACCAAATGGACCCGGCAGTTCGGGTAGTCCATTGCCACCAAGAAGTAAACGACAAGCCTGGCGTAATCGTGGCGGGGGAAGTGGAAGTGGCAGTACGGGCAACAGTGGCAATTCAAGGCCTTCAACAGGAGCAAACTTGACTGGATCAAAGCCTCCAACACCACCAAACCAACGAACCACAACACCAGCCTATGATCCAAATCTGATGGCAGATGAAATTGAATTAACTGAACGAGAGGAGAAAGAGTTGCAGGAAAATTTGACCACTTGGTTAGCGGTTATGGCCAATAAGGACAAAAAGACGACTGTCCAGCTTGGCCACCAATTTGAACAGATGATTCTTCGGTGTACAATTAAATCAACAAATTGTACACACATAAAGTAAGTTGATTGTTTCCATGTTTATCCTAGTAAATTGAAAGGTTAGAGATCAGTGTTGATGAAAATTGCCAAAAAATTGAATCAGGTTTTTAGGTTGATGAAAAATAGCTGATAAGGTAAACATGTAATCATGTCAATCATAGGTTGATACAGGTTAAGGACGTTGTAGGATTGATTTGGCAAGTTAAATATAATAAACATATATTTACATTTTGATTTATTTCAATAAAACCCGATCACTCGGGTAAATATGAAGTGAAAATAATCAATACTATAAAATGACTGATTTAATGTTGATTTTTTGTTGTTGTTGTTGAGTAAATAAGCAATCAAAAAAGGTTATAATGCTAATTTATTTGCTCTTATAAATTGTCCTCGTCAACATCACCATATCAATTACACAGAAGCTTTCATTCTGAATTTACTCCAACGGAAGGTAATTGTTTCACTTTTAAATCTAAAACATGGGATGGTAAACGTAACAAGCAAGCTAAACAAGAGGAAACAAGTCTAGCTGGAGTTGATCATGGTAAGTTTGAAACCATTATCATTAAGTAGTCAACCTAACAATCAACTGATTAATATGTTGCATGATGTGAGATCTCTGTGTTTTCCTTTCAGGCGTTCAACATATAAAAATGTTTCCCGTTTAAAAAGATCATTAAATTATAAGAAAAGGTTATTTTTGGTCGCATTTTTCCACAGGAAATTTATCACCATTAAGTAAATCAATTTGTAAATAATCAAAATCATTACTTAATGATTACAATTACAATCTCATTGACAGTCAGGTTTGGGCAAAAAAAATACATTGAATGCCTAAAGGTTTATATAGAGGTTGAAACTAGTAACTGGTTGAGGCCTTTGATGAAGTTGGATAAATTTTGATTAGTGAATTTCGTCAACAGCAATTAAATTAATTAGCTGATTAATGTTTGTAATGTGTGTGCTTGACAAATCATGTTGGGACATGAGAGATTCAGTAATATTAATGTATTTATCGCAATCCTTTTGTTTTCAATGTTACCATTTGTATAACAACATTGATATATTTTTGATTGGTCTTAAGAGACGCTTTTATCATAAATGTTATTACATTTTATGATTATTATTATTACTATCATCATGATATTTGACTTGAAGTTGACATCGAAAATGTTCAGCATTCTATTGAGTGCAACTCATATTTAAAATTACTCTCAACAGGGAGAAAAAGTAAAAAAAATTGATTCCTTTCTGAATTTCACCAGTTTTATACAATCATAATGTTATAACAATTGATTTGATTCTGGGGTTAAGAGAATAAAAAACAGATTTTTTGCTTTTACATCTTCTAGGAAACAAGTATATTGCATGATTACACCATCATGCTATCTTATACTCTCGTTGGGAACAAAAAGATTGACCAAAATAACCTTTACCTTATAACAATTTAGATTGTCATTGTAACAAAGAGATGAGAGAGAATGGCAAAAATGATGAAAAAAAAGAAATGAACAAGAAAGGTATTAAACTCATTCTTTAACAACATATCAAGCCATATTCAATGAGAGAGATGGATTCCGTTAAAGCATTGTCATGTTATTCAAACTTTTAGTCCCTTGATTCCGTCTGGATGATTTGTAACATTACAATGGTGATGGAAAATAATTTAGCTTAATTGACCCACAGTCGACCAGTGGTTTCCTCCAATATTGTTGATTAACATGAAGATGAAATCCATTTCTTTCATAATGTATTCATCACTTTCCCATGCAATCACCACCGTTAGACACTATAAATGGTTTTCCGTTGTAATTGCCATCCATTCAATTGGAGTCTCATTCCGTTGCCAAAATTTTGACCATTGTTTCATTGGGCTGACTTGAGTTTGACTTGGCTTTGAGCATGGCTTCTTGGTAATTCAAATCATCTCCAAACAGGGTTAACAATGAAAATTGAGAGTAGAAATAATAAAATAAAGTTCCATGATGTGATGATATCTGATTATCAATCCAAACTTATATCGTTTCATCTATAATATTTAAGAAAGCAACAGATACTTTTAGTAAAGGAAAAGCAATTTAGTAGTAATTGAAAAGATGAAAGCATTGGTTAATATAAAAAGTGACTTGAAAGGCTTTCTCCATCCATTCAGAAACATTTGTAAGGTAAATTTCATTACCAACTGAACTGGAGAACAAAAAAAATGATATTCAAAATGTATTATTGGTGTACAAAATCAAATGAAGATATCTGCACTTTTACTGTCAAGCACATTAAATTTAATCATTTGATAACTTTATATTTAAAATCATAAAGTGATATATTGACATTTATTCTGAATATTTCATAAATGTTTAATATCTAACTTAAATTATTGATTGAATAAGTCAACTCAATACAACCTTTGCTGGTTTTTTTACCAGGCAAGTTGTTGTGTTAGGCCTAGATTTTAAGCATTAGATTGGCAGTAATTTTTAATTATTGTTTTCCATTATTGTTCATTTGAATAAATGTTAACTTGAAGCTATGTTATTGTTATCATTAATAAGAGCACAATTATTTGGTCATTACGGTGTAATCAGCATGTTATTATAATTTATAAACATGTTAATTTTGTAATCTATTGGGAAACCCTTTGGGTAAAAAAAGGAGAGAAGAGTGGAAAACATTGGCAGGTTAAATGGGTTTACATGTTAGATGGAAGAGACAAAATACTAAAATTAAATGAATAATTAAACATTACGATGGATCATTAGTTTAACATTAGATAGATTTAGGTTAAATTCAGAGATCAGATTGTTTTTAATTAGATATCCTAATTTTAACCTTTCAAAATAGGTTAAAATCAATGTGAAACTAAATTGTAAACAAGCAGAGAGTTTATAACGTAAAAAAAGTAAGATACGGAACAAAGAAAGGTACTTACGTTTTGAAAAAGAAAGAAACAAATCTTGTTTGTATCGAGTTATTGTATTGACATGAAAGTTAACATTCTCTAATCAATATGTTTAATTAAAATAAATCATGAACGTATTCACTGATTTACCCAAAAAAAACTATTCACAATTGTAAATTAATGAAATGCACTTGATCAAGATTTATGGTGACCATCAAAGAGTAACCATGTGTTTGGTTGCTAGTCATGTGAGTAGCTAACCCTAAGTTAACGGTTAGGATTACGTTAATCAGAGTTGAAAATGTAAACAAATGTTGTTGTTCTTATTGAAATTGAATAAATCTTGATTAACGTTTATTTTATTGATTTGATTGAAAACAGTCATTAATCAAGTTCAACTGAGTTCAGTGTTTTCCTTATTTTTGTGGGCGAAAAGTTTAATTTACAAAAGTCAAGCAAAAAACATTCTACTTGGATATTAAGCATGTGGCTTACATAAAAAAGCGTGAATTGATCAAAGATTTGTTAAATTGAATTCAAATAATGGTTATTTCTGGTTAATTAGGATTGGAATTGGTGCTAAATTTGGAGACCAATGAATATCTTCCTGGGACGGCTCAAGTTGGTGCTCTGGTTATGGTTCATTCACCAGACGAGTTGGGCATATCTGCCAGTGAAGCTATCTTTGTAGGACCAGAAAGGGCTAATTACATTGGACTGAAAATGCTTCGTATCACTAGATTGCCCTCACCATATCCTGAACATTGTATTGACCACTGGCCGGAAGGATTGACAGCAAGTTTAACTCGTAATTCAACCTATTCTCAACAAGCCTGCCTCAAAATCTGTCTACAGAAGACAATCCAGATGAGATGTCGATGTCAGTCAGCTTTCCTCAATCAATTTGAATTAAACGATACAAATTTACGGATTTGTGATACTCGAAGGAAGAGTAAGTAATCATTAAATCAACTGGTTCCTAATTGTGATTCATATTCAAATGCGTACAAGGTATAATGCAGATTAATAGGCAAACAAGCCCAACAGGGAATCCATTTAATGGATTATACACTTTGAAATTTAAACCTTCAAACCCCAATTGGTCTAATCGTGAATATCTTCCCTTTATATTTATATTTACAACAATTAGTCGAGATTATTTGGCATTTAGAAACAAAAAGGATCATAATTTACCGAGAAAACAATGATTATACGAAACAAGCAAACACAGTACCAGATAACATTATAAAGCAGGCGAAAGCACAAATCTGACAAGCTAATGATGATTCTAATCATAATGAAACACTGAAATGAACCCAAATTGATCTAAAATTGTTTATTAATAAAAACCTTTTTGTTTTATTGTCCATCAGATACCCGTAAATGCGTTGAAGAGGTGATGTTAAGGCCTGAGTCTAAAATTGATAACTGTATGTGTCCACCAAGATGCCAGTGAGTAAATAATTGTTACTATCAGTGGCTTTATTATAGTTTATTATTATAGTAACCATTGTTTGTGAACAACAATGTTAACGTGAACCCATAAAAATGAATACAAGATGAGAAATTGATCAAATAGGAACCATTTTCACTGTAAAACGTTTCAATACAATGGTAACAATTGATGCAAACCTACACACATAACGTTAATATTGTTTTCATTTAAAACAAACCGAAAATGAAATGTTTATTGTTTTGCTTGCTTATTAATATTACAATTAATAATTACATGATGGTAATAACTTTCTATGTATTCATAAATTGCTCATCTTTTTCTGCCAATTTAGGGTAACTCAATATGAAAAAACTGTATCACTTGCTAAATGGCCCACAAGAGAGGTAAAGTATAAAATGTACATTTCATGTTATCCCTTAGATATTATTACAATCAATAATCAATATACATTTATATTTACATTTATATCCAACAATTTAGTGTACCAAATATCAAGCTCAATTACAATACTGGATACTCAAGCAAATTACAGCAATCATCCAAGTTGACAGGATTAAATTGATGTTTAAACAATATTATTGAGGACCTTTCATGGGAATGAGTTTACCCTTTAGTGGGAATGAGTTTTAAACAATACAAGTAAATTTTCTGGTAATGATAATCATTGTATTACTTGAACTTTTGATGATCATTACCAGTTAATGGTGTTAACTTGTTGTCAGTGTTTAATCATTAAATTTAGTCAATAGCGGGTTGAATTGTTAAAAATATCTCAATTTAAACCGCCTACAAACGGTGAAAGATAATTTCCGTTTCTCATGATAATAAACATCTCAAAGGTTACCTTTGTTCACTAATTTGCTTCCCAGTTTGTATATTTCAATCCCAAAGCTAAATTCATCTCAAATTCATGGTTGTTCATGATTAATATTCACAAAAGAAACATTTTGAATAACAATGCACGTTTCAATTGAATGAGTTATTACATTATTAAAACAAAAAAATAGTGTTAACTTTAGTAGTTGTTGACAAATGAGACTAACAACATTAGAGTAAAAAAAATCAATAACTGATTGAATTAAATGGTAAAATGATTCAAATTTCATTTGCTCTATAAAATGGGACACTTTCGCTGATTCCCAGACTTGATTAAGTAATTAAATTAGCTTAGTTTGATAAATTAGCGAATGTTGATGATAAACTCTTTTAATCTAATGATTATAAATATAATACAAAAATTTTCCATCTTTTCTTTGCTATTCAGGATCGAGTTTCATTTGATCGTGGATCTAAAGGACTTAATTTCCAGTGAGTTTATCAACTGATTACTAATTCGCATCTTTATCCACTAAAATTGTTGGTTTAATGAAGTCTTTTACATTTTATTTTGTCTTTTGATCAGAAATTTGGCTAAAGTGGTCGTCTATTTTCAAACAATGACCATGCAAGAGGTCGCCCAACAAGGAGCTTGGACTGTGAGTTTGTTTATTTATATACTGGTTGATTGTAGTTTAATTGATTTGCATCATGTTTTAATTTTGATTGTTTTCTTTTTATCTTATAGACAGCTAAATTATTGAGTAGTCTTGGAGGTTTCATGGGAATGTATGTTGGATTTTCATTTTTATCATTATTCGAAGTATTTGAAGTCATTGCTCGGCGGATTTGGTATTCATGCACAAGGAAAAGACTTCGCTTCAAGACAATTGTTCAAACAATAATGGCCACATTACAATATAAAAGAAAACAAGAATTGAAATGAAAGAAAAAAATTAGAGATTTTGTCAAATTTTTCATCTACATCAGGAAAATCCAGTAGCTTATTATCCTCAACAGCAACGTCAAAGCCAACACTTGCATGGCGTTAGGTTTCCTGATCATTGCCACCAACACCAACGGACCGATAATCATCACCATTCGGAAATGAATTCCAGATATTGAGATAATTAGGGCTCCAAGTCGAGTTCAACATAACCAAAAATAAGATCTTACGTCTCAACCAATATCTTCACTTCATTTATTATCAATGGTACTGATGTAGTTTAGTTGTCCAAAATTTTCAATGAAATAAAACCGAAAATTATTTCTAACATAATCATAAAGTAAAATAATAATTTATGCATTTGATGTATTCAATAGTAATATTAATAATTGCATGATAGTTAACAGACTGCAACTAAACAAAACAAAATCTAATAGATTTAAGATTGTAACTTTTTGAAACGAAAACAAATCAATGACTTATTAATAAATAGTCAATAGACAATATATAATATATTACTCGATAAATATATTATGTGAATTAAAAGAGAAAAAAATTTAGAGATGTTATCGTTTTAAATGTTTGCTTTAATTTTCAGAATAATTTTCAGTCGTTTCTCTCAAAGAATCAAATTTTCTAAAAAAAAGATGACCATTCAAATAAACTCCTGTCTAATAAATTGAGAATGATGATGATAGGAGGTTGATGATAATTTTTGTTGAGGCTAAAAATCACAGGGTTTGAAATAAAAATCTTAAAAAAAGTCATTGGTCATTAAAGGTTGTTTGCGATTGCATCCTTGGCCAGTGTCATAAAATCTTTTTCTCCAGATTCTTTCCAATATTTTGCAATTAATTCCAAATTTGGACAGTCTGATGGACATTGTAAGTTACCAGAACTCATTACATTTACCAATATGTTAGCAAATTTATCATCAGCAGATCTTGTTGAGGTTGTGGTTTGACTTAAATAACGGGCCAAAGTAGGATAATCACGAGCAACCTGGACACCTGCTTGACAGGCAATCGTTTCTTTACATAGATCATTATTGATTCCAAGAATTGTTAACATGGTGTCAAATAGTGGCTGTAATTCGGATGCTTGGTTCATCCTTTGGACAACACCGCCGGGTGCTAATTCACGAGCTGCGAGGGAAAGTGTAGGACCTACAAGGTATGATGTGACACCAAAGAGAGCCATTGATCTTTGAAGAGCATCAGCAAGTCCAGGAACTGGACTGGTTATTGCACGAACCATGAGAGGAAAAAATAAATCAGCTATTTCTTTTTGGTTGATCAGATTATCCTTAATTTGTTGCACAAAAGGTGAACTCTCAACGAATTGAATTAAGGCATTTGTGGG